TTTCATTAAGAAGTTGGTGCCGAAAGGGAAAACTGGAGCTGTCAGACTCATTCACACATTTTTGTGTCTCTGGGAAGACACTTCGAGATTGAAAGACTGAGAAAGTTGTAGTCATTCTTTAATGGGAATCCACCAGCTCTTGGCAAACACTCCTTTTTGGTCCTATAGCAAAATGTAAAGGTAAATTCTTGTGTCACTCAAGCTGTCTCAGCAGAGGAGGGTTTGGATAATACTGCAGCCACTCCAGCCAGCGTTTGGTACTGAGCACCTGGGAGGAGACTGGCTTTCAAAGGAAAGGCAGAAGCTGGATTACCAACCTTGTGTCATGCATGGCAGCATTTGGTGAATGAAAATCATTGCTTTTCAAGCTGTGCTGTGCCATAAATCACTGCCCTGGTCTTACTTTGATCAATGGAATGTGCTGCCCCACAGGGCTCTGCTCACCCTGGCAAGGAGAGACAATGCCATGTCCAACTCCCTCAGGGCTCCTCACTTGCCATAATCATCCTCAGCCTTGCTGCCAGCAATATTCCACCCCAGGCTCCCTCCAAGCTGGTGCTTTTTGAGCTTGCAGTTTTTCTTTACAGGGAAAATCCTCGAAATTGAGGACCCTCAGGAACTGGAGTGAACAAACCAAAAGTGTCTGTGCTGCACATGAGCAGGGAAGACACAACATCTGTATCTCACAGCTCTGCTGGCAGGAGACTGATGCCTGATAACCCCTGGTAGAGCTCTGTTCTGCCTCCAAACTCAACAGCATCTGCAAAGTTACAGGGAAAAAAAGAAGAGGGTAATTATCAAAATAATTCACAAGTTAGCAGTCCTCCAGCCTGTTTGTCAAAGTATTGTTCATGAGGAGCTGATAGACACAGGAATAAATAGCACGAGAGAGAGAAGTGATGCATTAGACCTCTCACCAGTCCCCTGACTGCAGCTACTACTGAGAAATCTGCCAGGAAATATTAGATGTGAAGTGGCTATGCAATGGGAGAGGAAAAATTATTAGGAACTGCCAACATCCCTCAGCTGATTAAGACAAAAAGCTGGAGGAGGCATTTAAAACCTAAAAAAGCTTTTTAAGTACAAATCTTCTGCTGATAAAAGGTCGCTGCAGACTGAGGATAGAAAACACAGGTAGCAACTAATTGTCCTGATAATTATTGCTGGCCCCACAGAAGCAGTTCTGGGATTTAGTGCAGGTGTTTTCTAAAGAATGGAAATCAGAGAATCCCAGAATGGTTTAGGTTGGAAGACACCTTAAAAATCAACTTATTCCAACCCCCTGCCATGGGCAGGGACACCTTCCACGTGACCAGGTTGCTCCAAGTTCCACCCAGTCTGGCCTTGAACACTTCCAGAGGTGTGACAGAAATGCAAATCCTCATGTCACAACTGTGACAAACATCCCAGTGTTGCCCTTTCTATGCCTGAGGACTGCATGTGCAAGGAGAAAGAACAAAAGGAGTTTTTTGGGTTTCCCAAGCCTGGTGAAGGCTCAGTAACCTCAGCATGAATTTATAATGTCATTGATTTCCAAAATTCTGTGGGAGAAACACAAAGACTCCTCACTTTGGACATCAGGCTCTGCTGATGGATTAATTTAGTCTAAAGACTATGTCTACATAAAGTATTTTTACTCTTTTAAATCATTCCCATTATGAGACAGGGTGATTAAGGCAGGACCTCTCCTAGCTCAGCTGCAGCAGCATCCACACAATGGTGCCTTTATGTTGGTGTTGCACATTTCCATGAATTTATGGAACCCAACCAGTGGCAGCCCCTTCTTACAGGTATATCCACACTGCACTACAAGCTCTTGTCTCTCTACTTACATTGCTCACGGACATGAGCGAGTAAAAGCAACATGGGAGCAATTTGCTGAGCTGCCCAAGTGACTCTGAAGTGTTCAGCAGAGACTTTCTGGCCCCCTCTGTGGTTTTAGGGGCTGTTTTGGCAGATCCTGCAAAGCCTGGGACTCTCTAGTGCTCAGCTGCGGCCTCATAGCTGCACTCAGGTTTGCACCTGCATCCTTGTGTGCCATAAGAAATGGTAGTAATACCAAAGTTATGCAGAAATAAACCCCTAATCCTGATTTTTTCTTTTTTCCTGTCCAGCATATTCCAGCAAGGCAACACCAAGCCTTTCTAACAGCTCAGTTCAGAGGACTTCTGCTGTAGCAGATGAAATTCAGCTGTCCCTGACATTAATTACATCAGCTACACAACACAGGACACCAGGGACAGCCTCTGCAGGGGCTGCACGTCTGCTGCAGTGACAGAGACCAGTCCTTGTTTACTCTGGATGTGAGGATAGCTGAGCAAGTGGTGACTGGTGGCTGCAGAGACCTCCAGTGACAGACGACAGCCCCAGACCTCCCTCACCTGGCAGACGTCACCTGCAGACCTGGCAGAGTTTCCTCAGGGCACTGGGAGCCCCAGCAACGTGCAAATCAGCAGGAGAAACTCACCCAATTCCTGTCTGCTTTTACCATATTTGAAGTTTGATGTTAGCATGTAAATGAGGCATTTAAATCAGATTCACATAGAAGCTCATCTTAAAGCTGAACAAAACATGTACCTGGGCAACCTGTGGACAGCATCACCACCATTTCAGTGAAGAAATTTTCCCTGCAATCCAATCTAAACCTCCCCTGCTGCAACTTGAAGCTGTTTCCTCTTGTCCTATTCCTTGTTTCTTGGGAGAAGAACCAACCCTCACCTGGCTGCTCCCTCCTGGCAGGGAGTTGTACAGCAGCTACCTGAGGTCACCTGGATTTTTCCTACGACCATTTTCCCCTCTACTTAGGTGGCAGATAAGGAGGAAGGAAGATCCTAACACAGCAACTTTCCCTACAGAAGGAAGATGTCCATGTCACAGTCCACTGGCACTTGGAAAGACATCTTGGGACATCCCTAAATAGCACCACTTTGTCTGATCAACCCATTTGGAAACCTCTGCTCTGATTAGAGTTGGTGAATCAAATCAAACCAACCTCTCCTGCAGCAAAAAACATCACAAATCTGAAACACCCCAGTACTGCTTAGAAGAGCCAAGTCTTGTTGCCAGAAGTCTTGCCATGTTCCTTGATGTCACCAAATCCGTAAACATCATCGATAACGAGCAGAAAAGGAATGTTATATCACCTCTATTACAACAGGGTGACAGAGCAGAACAGCCTCTGTCAATACACTGTGTTTTTGTGGGTCACAGGAAGGTTTTATTTCTCTCTTAGAGCCTTGAATCCCTGCTTTAAAACAACCAAGGGGAGCTTTAAAGCTGCTCCTTTCCCTTCTCACCTGATCTGTATTTTGGCATGACTTCTTAGAAGAAGGGCAAACGTAATGAGGCAGCTACTGTACTTTTTATAACTCTCATCAGGTCTTTCATTTGGGCCAGCAAGGAGGCTTGTTAGAGCAGAGAAAGCAACTAAGCATCTCTGGAAAATGCTATTAAAAGAGCAAGTAACAAATGAAAAGCTGGGATAGACTTAATGGTAAATACATGGCCTGGCAGTTCAGCACAGCTACATCCTGCTTGCCATCATTATTTAATACTGGCATCGATTGAAGGATGAGGCAGACCAGGGAACTCTCTGTGGGGTTACTTGAATACCATTTCACTGTGAGATTAAATAAGCCCACAGGTTTGGATCACGCTGTTTGATGGGAGATTTTAATTAATTGATTAAGTATCAGTGACTACTGCAGTTGAGCAGTAAACAACACCTCCTTCATCATCTCCGTGGGCAAACAAGTCCCTGCTAATTATCAGTGCCCAGCTCCAGGCTGGAAGCAGCACTGCATTAACCTGCTCCTCTGGAATAACAAGCTGTCCAGCCACTGTCCCACATGCTGTGGGAGCAGCTGCTGCCATGGATCAGGCACTGCTCCATCCCCACCTCGGGATGTCATTCCTGGTTGATAATCAAACATACAGCCTGCTTTGTCCAGCAGTTTATTCCCAAGTTGCCCCTGGCCAGGATGGTCTCTTTAGGCAAAGCAGATAAATTATCTTACAACCAGCCTGCTGATCACTGGCTGGAGATCAGTGGCTATGGGCATCAATTCCCTACTTCTATCTGTCCTTCCAACTAACCATTACTCTTCTCAACTGCACCACCTAAATCTTTTCCTCAGAGGTAATTGCCAGGAGTTTGGAAGCGAGGTCACAGCAAACAATAAGAAAGAAGGATGGGAAGGTGAAGATGGAATACCTTTCAGCAGGGGAAGCTTCCTTCCCTGGTTTGGAGGTGTGCAGCACCTCGTGTGTGCCCTGGAGCTGCAGGAGAGCAGAGCTGAGGATCGTGGAGCACGGCTTTCCCTGCCCGAGCAGCTGTCCTGGAATTGGATGTGGAGAAAAGCTGCAAGGGAACAAAAGGGAGGACAGAAAGCAGATACTCCCCATTTCTAGAGGTTCTAAGGAGCATTTTCCCTTATATGAGCAGAGTGAAACTCAGCCTTGGAGAATTTGTCTTTTTAAAGAAACAAACCACTTTCTTTTCTTAACAGCCATTTTTATTGCTTTTGACAACACACCACTGGAGTGAAAGGAAATAATTTTCTGCTATTCTGTAGCTTCTTCCTTTGTTAGAGCAGGTATATTTCCTGGGACTATTGATAAGGGTAACTGGTTAATTTGTTACTGGTCATCCAATCTGACCATGCAAGTGAAAAGAGTGGGAAATCCCTCAAAGCATCACAAAACTGCCACCACTCTGGAGAGTGATTAACCAACATTTGCATGGAGAACAAGTCCTTACAGGCACTGCCAACAAGACTGAAAGTCTGTGTCTCAAGATGTCATCGCAGGGGCTCAGGCTTGAAAGTGTCACCAACATGTAATTCAAGAATAATCAACAAAAACCTTTCCAAAGGACTTTGGCTGAAGTCCCTCACACACAAATCCTTCAAACCAGCCAGAAACAGTGTCCTGAGCCCCACCTTCAACCCCCAGCTCCTGCCACAGTCTAACCTTCAGCTACAAAATAAACACACACAGGGTTAACAATGAAGAATATTTACTTTCCTTCATATGGTACATTCTGTAAAGTGCTAAGTTCCTAAATTATACTGAGTTAAAATAATATACGGCTCTAGTATTTTAGACACAATAAATATAGAATGAGCCTTGTGCAACTGCACTTGCAAGTTTTATTCTTTTTTTAGTAGACAGCCTAAATTTAGTAGTCAAAATAGCCTCCAATAGTGCTCCAAGAAAATCTAGGAAGCAGTTATAAATAAAATCACATCCTTCAGAGCTATCCTACGCACTTCTCCTGTCCACATTGCACGGGTAAGCAACGCTCCTGCGAGCATATGGAGCGAGGAAAAATAAGGAAGCTGAAAATTACCCAACAAAAAAAAAAAAACAACCCACCAAAATCCTACAAGTTAACACTACATATCCTCCTATAAATAGTCTGGCTTCCACATTTAATCTTAGTGCACACAACCCAGGTCTTTTATTTTTAACTCCCGTTAAAAAACTCTTCCAGGAAGAACATCTTGCAAGACACGGGTCGATTCATCCTCATCTTGCTCCTTTTTGCTGCAAAGTGGAAAGGACTCCTGCACGAACTGCCTGCACATTGGGCACTGCTGGAAATACTTGATGCAGCCATCACACAGGCACGTGTGTCTGCAGGGCAGGAGGACCCAGTTCACGGGGCCGTTCTGGCAAACAACACAGTCTTTGCTGTTTTCTTCCTGCAGTTCTGGTTCATCTCCAGCCAGCCCGGCCTTTTCCAGCAGCCCTCTGTCAGTGCTGCTCTCACCAGGGAAGGTATCACTGGAGGAGGGTGCAGGACTATTTGCAGACATGAAGAGTTGCTAAAATACACATAAATAAAAATATTTAGAAGTGAACAAATTGTCCCAAACTCTCGCCCAATCTCTGCACACGCACAGGTGCAGTGAAGCTCCACTGAATCCATTCACTGGGTCAAACAGTGCCAGACTCTGTGTGGGTCCTGGCAGCTGCCTAGCCTCCAGTTAAAGGCATTTCAGAAACATGAAATTACATTAAACAGTGGGAAAATATTAAAGATAAGTCCTCAGACCTTGGCTGCATCAAATCAACGTCAATCATGAACTTTAACAGAAGTGCTCAGGTTTTGAGCAGCTCGGGTTTGTTTCTGGTCCATCAATCTCTGTGCCTAGAGGGATCTTCTATCCATTCCTACCCAAATTATATCCACCACACTGTCAAATCTGCTTCATTCAACCCATTCTGCTCTTGCTCATATTCCAATCCCCTACTACTTTTTTTGTCTTATTTTATATGAAGCACAAATTCTTCTGGGCATGATTCCTAAGTATAGTGCAAGAACAAGGAATTTTTTAAAAGTAAGTTTCTTCTGAGGCTTTCCTGATTAAAAAGGAATTTTGAAGAAAGGAAATAGATATTCTGGAAAGAAGAAGCATTCAACAGTGAATTTCTTCCTACTGCTTTACTAAGTGGACACTAGGACTTCTAGATTAGAAGCAATTAATTTCTACAGGAAATCTTGAATATTTCCATGGAAAATATTTTTGTACAATAAGTGCCTGTGGCACTACTTAACTGATAAAATAATTTTAACTACCTTCCAGCTCTTTGCATGACAATGGAAGTCTTGTACTAATTTAGGCTCCTGAAAGCCTACACAAGCTAAAGTTAACATTGTCATACACATGAAACCAGACTCTGTGCATGGCTTACCTTCAGGTCATGGTATTGACCTTGAGCTAGGAGGAGATACTGATACAAAATTCGGCAGGAAAGTCTGTAGCTTTCATCAGGAACGTGAATTACAGCCACCATTGCAATCTACAAACATAAAAAAATTCTATGTTTACTAACTTATCATTCAGGCTGAGAGAACTGGAGAAGAGAAGGCTCCAGGGAGAGCTCAGAGCCCCTTCCAGAGCCTAAAGGGGCTCCAGGAGAGCTGGAGAGGGACTGGGGACAAGGGATGGAGGGACAGGACACAGGGAATGGCTTCCACTGCCAGAGGGCAGGGATGGATGGGATATTGGGAAGGAATTCTTGGCTGTGAGGATGGTGAGGCCCTGGCACAGGGTGCCCAGAGAAGCTGTGGCTGCCTCTGGATCCCTGGAAGTGCCCAAGGCCAGGCTGGATGGGGCTTGGAGCAACCTGGGACAGTGGGAGGTGTCCCTGCCCATGGCAGGGGTGAAATAAGATGATCTTTAAGATCCCTTCCAACCCATATTATTCCATGATTCTTTGATTTGCTTTGGTACAGCTTCTGACCTGCTTAATTCCTTAGACAAGCGGGAATTCAACAATGTTGACTTTAAGCACTGATCAAAAAAAACAAACAAATACACTGGACAATGTGGCACAAGAGAGCCCTTGGTGCTCCTTCAGCTTCCCACCCTGCTTCCCCATGGAGCTCTTCTGTGGCCAGTTTATAGCAGAGACCTGCTCTGGCTGCTCCCACCTCATGGAATTACACCCCAAACTGAAAAGGCACCTGAGCAGACTTCTCCACTTTCTCCCCCTTCCCTCACAAACACACAGACTGCAGTTTTTAGACTCCACAAAATCACTAAGAAGTGATTGGCTTGTAATCTGAGCAGGCCAAAGACAAATTTCACTGGAAAGGATTCTGAACCCCCACGGGCTGACTTTAGATAATTCCTCTGGAAATACAAGCACTCTAAGCTTGCATGCTGTGCCTAACTACCCCCACCCTGCCCAAATTACGTAATAGCCTCTAAAAGGCTGAGAAAAAAGAAAGTGAAATTCAATATTATTGTAGTTCCCAGAAGCTGTCAAAAGAGAAATGAAATATAGAAGCTGTTTTGCTTTAAAAAGAAATTTAAAGGCAAATTAGACTTGCACTTCAAAATCCACACATGGCTAATTAAATACAGAGTTCAAATGTGTATGTACCTACACATATGGATTTATAAGAACTGATTTCACTATTCCTTGGCAAAAGAGTCTTTTTTTTTTCTAAATCACAGTGCCTGAGAACTAAGCTTCCACTTTAGCCATGACAGTCTTCCAGTAATTTCTGTAACTTTTATATATGGTCATGCTAATTTTCTGGATCTAGAAGAAAATTATGGCACAAAACCAAGTAGGGATGATCTTACCACAAAACCAGTTAGGATGAAAATCAACCCCCTCCTCCAGGAAAGAGACAGTGGAACATCATCCACAGTGATGGACACCCACACAGACCCCCCAAATAATTCAAAATGGAATATCACATTGGCAAAGATCCATTTCCACACTCCATTTCTATTTTACAAGTTTGTTTCAACAAACCAGACGCAAATCTGACATTTGTCTGTCAAGGAGTTCAGGTGGAGTTACTCCTTGACTGGATTTACAGATTCTAGATGTGTTTCTTTCCTCCAACAGTAAAGAAAAAATACGTCCCCCACTCTCCTTCCACCCTTTTCTTCTGTGTTAAGGCTCTAAAGAGAGGTGTTACAAATTCATGCCCATGCTAATGTCAAATACATTCAAATAATATATTTACAGTTTCTTTATGTTAAACTAATCTGACATCTGTACCTATAAAAATGTATTAAAACATTAAAACATCTCAAGTGGGGACAAGGAGGGAGGAAGGCAGTCCTAAAGTCAGGTGACAAGAAGCCAAGGACAGCCATCAGCTGGAATGGGGACAGATTTCTTAGGCACTGGTGTGATTACAGTGAATGCATGGAAAAGTCTTCAGTGGATTTAGGCAATTTGCTTCCAAGTTCAGTTGTGCTACTCTTCAAGGAGTTGGTGCAAGTAGATTATCAATCCAATGAAAAGATGGAAGATTAAAGTGTGTCTCAAATCATTCAGAGATCATCGATTTAGGGTTTATAAAGGGTATTGAACAGCATGTGGCAAGGCTGAAGCTGCTTTAATAGCAAGAGATTAGGAGGAGACCTGTTTTGGGGAGCTGAGTATCTCCTATCAGCCTCAAGCCAGACCTTCATCCCTTCCTGTAAGTTCCCTGGAGCTGGCTCCTGTGAGACACAACCATGACACAGACCTAGGGCAGAAAGGTAATTTCTAGGTTTCTAACAGCCAAGTCAGCAATCAGCTTCATATCCATGCCAGACACTTTTAAAAAAATCCTCCTGCCTTGCCAACAGAATCCAAGAGTCAGTATCAGCACAAGAGCTCCACCACAGGCCCGTGTGATCCCAGAAATCAGAGTAACAGGTTGCTAAACTGCCCCAACCCTCATTCCTCTGACCACAGGGACCTTGGCAGGCAGAAGCTTTGGGGAAATCACAAGCATCTGTTAAATGGTGTAGTGAGTAAGTAAAGAGTTAGCAATGTTTCTCCATTGCCTCTTCAAAGACTGAGGTTTGCAAGTTAAAGCTTTAACTGCTTTATTTTAGAAAATAAGAAAGTGAGGGACCAAATTTTAGGGAGCAAGAAAGTGAAGCTGAACCTGCTTTATTCAAGCCTCTAGCCTGAAACATTCCTTAAACACAGTGACCCTGAAATATACTCTGATATTACTTACAATATCGTATATTTCTCTGTCTTCTTCATCTGCTAACGTCAGCAATGCTACCAAGGGATAGCGAGCTCTAGGCACGGGGCCAAAATCCACAACTTGAGCATCTTCTGGTAACTGACAATATTTCTCTGCCTTGTCATTTTTTTTAATGCTTTGTCTGTGTCAAGGAAAACAATCAGTGGCTGCATTTGCAGACAAATGTGACGTTTGCATAAAGAGCATTTCTCATCGTGTTTGCTCATAAATGAGTTGTGCCAAAACCCGTGATGCATTCACCATCTTCAATGCTCTACGTGCCAAAAATCCCAGCATATATTGTCAAAACAATTCAAAAAAGGATACAAGTGCTGTTGTTTGTAGAGGTATTCGTTGTAGAGAGCATCCTCTAATGCCTGAGGAGTCTTTATCCTGAAGCAGTAGACATGTTTCTGCAGCGCTTCGTGGAGTTTCTGGACATTGCAGCCCCAGTAGCAGGTAAGGACACAGTCCTCCAGGCAGTCTGGTGTCAGTGTTACACCCCCTTGGAGAAAGGGGAGAGGGATTTCATTAACTCACCACGTGTAGGAATCCTGGAATTGCTAACTCTAGATGCTTGAAGAGCTACAAGCAGAAAACAACTTCAGTGTCACAGAGTTTTATCACAGAACCATAAAATCATAGAATGGTTTGGGTTGGAAAGGACCCTAAAGCCCATCCAGTTCCAGCCTGTGCCATGGGCAGGGACACCTTCCACTGTCCCAGACTGCTCCAAGCCCTGCCCAACCTGGTCTGGAACACTGCCAGGGATCCAGGGGCAGCCACAGCTTCTCTGGGCACCCTGTGCCAGGGTCTCACCACCCTCACAGCCAAGAATTCCTTCCAATATCCCATCTATCCCTTCACTCTGGCAGTGGGAAGCCATTCCCTGTTTCCTGTCCCTCCAGCCCTTGTAAAAGTCTCTTCTTCTAGGCTCACTTCAGGTACTGAAAGGCTGCAATCAGGCCACCCCGAAAATCATAAACATTATAAAATAACAAAAATTATTTATCATTATAAACAAATCTTCTCATGATTTAGATTTAGCTTAGTGTTTATGGAAGTCAGTGAGGATTAGGAAGTGGGTGTGAGGAGATAAAATGGCTCATTAAACTCACAAAAATACCACATGCATTTTATGAATGGTAAATTTTAACTTCTGGTAACACTTTACACACTCACTGGCAGATACAAGAGCACAAGCCTTAGCCCAAAGTCCATTCCCTCCTGAGATAATGGTATTAATTGGATCACTCATTTACAAAACTCTCTGTGATCTCAAAGAATAAGGCTCTTGATCATGCAGAGGAGAAAAACGGTATCTATGCTCTCCATTCTTTTTCCAAAAACCTGTCAACTTCTAAACACTTCCTGCACCAACAGGAGCAGGAGTGCTCAAAGCTCCTGAAAAATCCCAGTTACTGAATTGCTGGATTTATTGTGTCGGGGGTTTTATGTTGAGGGAGGGGGGAAATCTGCTGCAGCCCTTCCTCATGCATTGGAAGGCCCCACATCTGTGAGGGTGGAAGATGCTCAGCCTTGCTCACTGCTCCCCCAGTGATGCAGAAGGCCACGAATTCCACTTCCTGTGAGGGTGATTTCAGGAATGATAGGGATGGCTTGAACTCTGATCCAAACAGGTACTTAAATTCAGTTTCCATTAGAGAACAGATAGACAAAGAGGGTGATGATTTATTTATATATTTATTAAAAATAGTGCACTTCCAAACACTGCTGAAGATCTGGGCTTATTTTAAGTGGGTGGCACATATTCCATAATGTATTCTGTACAATTCTACAATTTCATGAAATTTATAGAAACGCCCACAGTGGTTGGTAATTTGCAAATGTTTTAGTTACTTAAAGATCTGTAATAGGAGGAAGTGTTCCATTAATGAGAATTAAACTGTACCTCCATATTCAAACATTTCACTTTTAAAAACACCATGTTTATAAACTATGTAAAAGTTTATTTCTGAAGAATTATGACAGAAAAAAAGGGTGAGAGCAAGAACAATGATCTTTAAGGTCCCTTCCAACCCAAACCATCCTGATTCTAGGCAGAAAATGCAAAGTACCGAGTTCAGGAATGCAAATTGACAAAAACCACCTAAGAAATCCACTGACTTGTTACTGAAGCTGCAGCAGGATTAGAGATCTCCAACCCAAAAGGATTCTTCACTTGTCTCATCCGTTTTTTCAGTACCCTTGTGCTGGATTCGGTCTCCTCTGAGTTCCTCAGAATAACAGGAACACCCAAACCAAACCTAGGAGACAAAAACCAAGAAGAATGAACGTGTTACTGTTGACATATCTGATTTTTTTTTTGGTCAGCTATAAATAGCAAGCAGCAGAATAAACAGAGATAGTTTGGCTTTCTAGAATATCTGCTAGGATGCATGGATAATATATCCTGCCATTTCGACTTCAGCTTTTTGTCAGAAGGCAGAATTCTGCACAGTGATGCAGACAATCTAAAAAAGGGGGAATATTTTGCTCTGGGCTTCCACAAAGGGAATAAAATTAACGAGAGTTGTCAGTGCCCTCTAGTGGTAAAGGATTAGGCCAGAATTTCCTCCCCTCTGAGTCCTGCAGAGCTGAGCACCATTCCAGCCTCCTCCCGTGAGCAGGGACACTTTGCACTGTCCCAGTTTGCTCCAAGCCCCATCCAACGTGGCCTTGAACAATTCCAGGGATCCAGGGGCAGCCGCAGCTCCTCTGGGCACCCTGTGCCAGGGCCTCATCTCTGTCACAGCTAAGAATTCTTTCCTAATATCCCACCTCAAGCTGCTCTGTGTCCGTTTAAAGCCATTCCTTTCACTGAAACATTTGCATTTCATCAGTGGCATCATGGAAGGCTCTTGGTCACCCTTGATTTGAGCACACAGAGGGTCAGCTGTGTCTGCTACAAGGGAAAACACCCACAGACACTTCCCTGGGGCTGTAGGGGAATATCCAGGTTAAACATCTCACAAAGAAACCAGAGGCAGCAGCTGTTTCCCCTCTTCAATATCCAAACCTCAACGGAGCCGATCTCTGCAGCTGCACGTAAAGGTACATCCTGGTTTAAACCAGAATCTGCCTGATTGTGAAGGAAAAATCCCTGTTCCTTGGAAACTTTCTTTGCTGGTTGAAAGCAACAGGATTATCCTCATGAAAACCAGCAAGATATAAGAGCCTCTGGTACAGTTTTTAGCAGCAGCTGAGGGCACAGAGGCCTTTCTGCTCCACATTAAGGTGTGGTTTTCTGTAAATTTTAAGTGTAGGAAGTATGAATAAAGTTATAAGTTTTTATTTTATGATCTAACAGTCCAGATCATAAGCTGTTAGAGGAGAACATTCATTTATTCAGAGCAGTGCTAGCTTAGAAACAGGAGGAATTTTTAAAGTTTAGTTAATGAATTAATGTTTCTGCAGAGCCAGACTTCCAACAGGTGCTGAGCCTTCAGCTCCTCCTAACAGGAGCATTCCCCCTCCAGCTAAAAATACAATGCCCAGGTAATCAGGTGATCTAAATTCCACTTCACCCCTGTGCCCAGGGCACCTGGGGGACTGGCTCTGGAAGCTGCCTGTGCATTAAGCCACTTGGACTGTGAGCAGAGCCACAGGTATCCAGGGCTGGCCACAGGAACAGACGCTCCTCCCATCACTGCAAGGCTCCACAAATGAACATGAACATTCCTCAACAGTTGGTGTTTTTCAGGCTGACTGACACCACCACAAACTCATCATTAAACAAATAAATGCTGAAAATTATAGGGGAGCCCAAATGCCACTGCAGCAATACCTCAGGTATTCTGTGCTCCGTGGCACCATTTGCATTTACAGTGCTCTGTGTGACAAATGAAGGATTTGAGTTGTTTTCCTGAGCAAGTTCAGGAGCACTTGAGCTGTAACTGCAGCTGCAGGCACGGGGAAATCCCTTGGAGGCTCCTGGTCATGGTCATGGCACAGGAGAATTCCAAGTGAGCAGCTGCCCACACATTCACCTGCTTGTATGTGCTGAGCTCCTGGCTACAGCTCCTCCTTGAAAAGCATACATTTCCATAAACTGCAATAACACCTAGTGCAGGTGCAGCTGGAATCTCTTAGCCTGAAAAAAAAAAAGCCTCTGGACAGTCGTCTGTGTACCCAAAACACCAGTGGACAGGTGCACACATATAAGAATCTGGTAGCACACATCTATTTCAGACTTTTCGAGCAGGGGATTGCCAGCATTTAGTACAAGTAGATAAATAATGATTAAATTGGCTAAAGGATCAGTGGTTAGGGATAGATATGATGAAGATTAATCTAAATCATGGTTCAGTATCGTAATTTTTTAAAAGATACCTTTATCAGCAGCACTTTGCAGATATTAATGTGGAACCAATGGGAGGAAGTTCAACAACTCCAGTTTTATTTTCACCACAAGCCACACGACTCTGGTGTAGCCTCAATTCCTATATGCAAGATTTTGATTGCTGATCAATTTCTGCTCTTGGCAAGTACCAGCATTTACATTTACAGCCCCTCCTGAGAGTTAGGGACATTCAAGGAGCTGTTTCTGGAAAAGGCAACAGCGGCATTTTTGCGGCATCCTCTCAAACACAAGCAGAAACTCTTTCACTCACCACCCCGAGACATTTGAGAAAACCAGTTCACATATTCACAGAATCATTTAGGTTGCAAAAGACCCCGGCTGCACCCAGGGAGTTGTGCAGAGCCACAAGGGCCCTCCTGAGCCTCCTTTTCTCCAGGCTGAGCCCCTTCCCAGCTCCCTCAGCCTCTCCTGGGGCTCCAGAGCCTTCCCCAGCTCCGCTCCCCTCCCTGGACACACACACAGAGCTCCGTAGATACAAACGTATTGTTTCACAATATTATGAATGATATTACGGAAAACATTAAGAAAACAGTTCGGTATTACTAAAAGAGGAACGAGCTTAACAGAAATACGTATAATTTCTTTTTACAATTATTTTTATTGCTCGTTTAGAAGCCTAGGAGGGTTTGGGTTGGCAGGGACCGTTCCAAGCCCCTGCCGTGGGCCTGGCCTTGCCCCCCTCAGCACAGCCCAGGTCCCCTGGGCCGAGCCCCACCGGCCCCAGAGCACTGACCAGCCGAGGACGAGCGCGCTGGTGACGAGGAAGCAGATGGACACCAGGGCGATGTAAAACAGCGGCGAATACTCGTACAGCGTAACCAGGAACACGGCGGCCATCGGGCCGGCCGCACCGCCCTCAGCCCGCGACTGAAGCCGCTGCCCTCAGCCTGCCAGGGATGGGGCGGGACCATGGCGGCACCGAGTGAAGCCGCTGCCCTCAACCTGCCAGGGACGGGGCGGCACCGAGTGAAGCCGCTGCCTTCAGCCTGCCAGGAACGGGGCGGCA